TTGTACAGTCAGTCAGGTTTGTTGTAGATTCTTATACAGTCAGTCAGGTTTGTTGTACAGTCTGACAGCCGAAGGAACAAAGGATCTCTTGAAACGTTCCGTTCGGGAGCCTAGTGATAGGAGCCTGTTGCGTCGATTACTCCTCTGAGCAGCCATAGTGTCATGCAGAGGGTATCTGGAGTTACCCAGGATGCCCTGCATTAGAGCCCTCATCCTTCTCTCCAGCACAGAGACACATTTCCTGATCAGCCTGTCGAGCCGGTTACTGTCTCTCGAGGTCAGACTGCCGCCTCAACACGCAACCCCGAAGAACATGGCACTAGCAACCACAGACTGGTAAAAAATGTGCAACATTTGACTGCTCACATCAAAGAACCTCAGTCTACTCAGAAAGAAAAGTCTGCTCTGACCTTTTTTGTAGATGGCGTTGGCCTGAGCTGACCAGTCCAGTCTGTGGTCCAGGTGAAGTCCCAGATATTTATAGGAAATGGAATAAATGTGGAATAAATCTAAGGACTCACTATCAAAATGAGAAGTTATAAAGTTCTGCTCTGACAATTGGCCAAACACTTGATCATAATGTTCACCGGGAAGCAGGAATGTGTGTTACGTGTTGAGCTCTGGAGATCAACAGCCGTTAGAGCTGGGTCCAAATCCGCTCCTTGTATCGGCCGCATAGCTGTAAAGGACGTAAAAAAACATGAAAAAAGTAACTGATTATAGACTAGCAAGTACGGTCACTGCCCATAAACATGTGCTCACAAAAGGTCTATAATCAGAGAGGAATACCCTTGCCCAATGATTAGTCTAAGAATTCATCTGATTTAAAAGGCATTTCAAAGTCAGTAGCAAAGATCCAACTTTTCAAAATGAAATGCAAAAACCAAGAAATAAAAAATGATGAAATTGAATGAATGACACAATGTGATACAAATAAAATTCATGTTACAATAACTTCATCACTGCAGGTCTCCATTGAAAAATATGTTCTGTTACAATCTGCTACAATCCACTGAAAAATAAAGATATCAAGATGCATGCCATTTGCAGTAGAACCACATTGGAAAAACTGTGCAAGACTTCTTTGGTGCCACATATATTTCCACAATCTTAAAGTAAAGAAAAAAAGTGATCATCATTGCACAACACAAGCCCATAGGAAGAAAGAGTTATTATTCAAAACTACTTAAAATGTATCTTTTTATTTTGTAATTCTTCATATATGCATTGAAAGAATAGAGCAGACGAGCCTGCAGCAGCTAAAGCTATATGGACAAAGTAAATAATGGAACACGGCCCATCCCAGCAGCTCAGGTCCGCTATGGTCTCCAGTTGGGATTGTGACAAGTGTTCTGAAGCCCTCTGCATTATTAAAGAACAGAACAACCAAACAAAAGGAAGGAGTTCATGAAGCTTCATCACAGCGCTCACTCAATGTCACTATCTCTCTCATTACTCTAACCAGTCCTGTGGCAGTGGCCTGATGTACTACAAAGGGCCTGTGTGTAGAACAATGGAACATGTCAAAAAGCTTCATTATGATGATGAATTAGCATAAGCAATTCACATGAGCTGATTTACTGAGGAGAACATGCAATATGGCGATGTGTCATTAATACATGTATGTAGTATTCTATAGGAATATGAAGAATGAGGCACAGGTTTTCTATAAGATGATGAAAATGATAGACAAGAAGAATACCTAGCAAAATGTGGGAAACATCTTAATGATACCCCTCCTGTCCCCCCACCTTGTATGAGAAAAACACATATTTCAGTCATAAATACAGAGAGTGAAAGGAAAATGAAATGTGCAATTGTTGGTATGGATTTTCCCCATTATCGGATGTCAATGTCCCCCTTCCATGGGGGCTGGCTTGCTCCTGGCTGACCCCCAATGACCAATCCAGTGGAACCTGGAAGTATCCTCACAGCCAGTATATACTGTAGATAGCTGGGATGGACTAGTTTGGGCTCTTGGTCGTTGGTGTCAACTCTCTAAGCAACATGTAGCAGCCTAATGCTGAGGCCCAGAGCCTCCAGGGTTCTCTCTCTCTCTCCAACCATCTCTCCTTGGGGTATGATATTTTCTGTTTTAAATGTCCTCTTTTATATCTATTGGTTTGGGCCTAGTATGTACAGTAACGAATACATTTTCAAGAAGGTAAAGAAGGCAAGAAGGTCCTGGGTTCAAATCCCGGTCGGAACAGGGCCTCTCTGAGTGGAGTTTGATTGTTCACCCCGTGTCTGTGTAGGTTTCCTCAGGGTGCTCTGGTTTCCCATTACCACTAAAATACATGCACAATAGGTCTGAATGTAATGAGTGAGTGAATGGATGGTGTTGGTTGGGGGCTTTGATGCGCCAGTGTGTCCGGCGTCTCGCTTCCGTCATCACCGTGTGTGGAATAATTGGAACAATATGCAGTGTGGGGGCCCCCCAGGGAACTGTCCTCGCGCCGTATCTGGGTGTTCATCTGAACCACAAACTGGACTGGACTCATAACACAGATGCCCTCTTCAAGAAGGGCCAGAGTTGCCTCTACCTACTGAGGAGGCTTAGGTCTTTTGGAGTGCAGGGGCCACTCCTGAAGACCTTCTATGACTCTGTGGTGGCATCAGCCATCTTGTACGGTGTGGTCTGCTGGAACAGCAGCATCACAGAGAGGGACAGGAAGAAGCTGGACAAGGTCATCAGGAAGTCCAGCTCAGTCCTGGGCTGTTCCCTGGACACAGAGCAGCAGGTGGGGGACAGGAGGGTCCTGAGCAAACTAACATCTATGCTGGACCATGACTGTCACCCCCTGCAGGACACTCTCTCTGCTCTGGAGAGCAGCTTCAGTGACAGACTAATTTACCCTCGCTGTGTGAAGAAGAGGTTCCGTAGGTCTTTCCTTTAATTCTTAAATACATGTGCAATGTGCAATACTGCAACTTCAGGATGTCACAGAACAATGTCACTTTACCTCATGTCACTTTACTTATATACTGTACTTTTTATTCTGCACTATTTAACTATACAGTATATAACTGCACTACTACATATATATTTTGACTGGTATTGAAGCATTTTCAGCCTCTACAGCTAGTTATGTTAGTTAAGAAACATAGCTACTAGTTATTTGTATATATTGTGTGTCCTCCCTGTGTGCTCTTACTACTGTCCTATATGTGCGCTGCAACATCGAAATTTCCCCACTGTGGGACGAATAAAGGAATTCTTATCTTATCTTATATCTGAACATTGTAAAGCACTTTGGGTAACCTTGGTCTGTAAATTGCGCTATATATAAACCTTACTTACTTTTACACTGAAAAAGGTGATCTAAAGATGTGACAGAGGCCAAAATGATATGCCTGTGAAATCTAGTGACATAATTGTGAGTTTAGGCAAGAAACATTATATTTTTTGGATTTACTTCTATAAAATCGTATAAAATTTGCACTCTTTCATACGGTTTCATAGCAGTTTTCATGTATCAACACGTGAAAACAAATTGGCATTTTGCTGCCGAGCCTACACAGAGAGAACACTTGATCAACAGCTCGAGGTGCGAGTTGAGCTATGTTTACATGTTTTTGAAAAAAAATAAACATGTATTCCAATGACGCCGGAACATCCAGAACATCCGGAACACCCTGCACACCCAAATGCGGCCTTCACAATTCATCACCGCCGTTAGTTCACAGTTTACATCAGCTGTCCAGGCTTCTTTCAACCACAGCACCAACGAGAGGCAAAGATGAGACAAAAGCTGCGTGTCGGCTCTTGTCTAAGCAGCCAGAATGAAGAGAATCCTGCCAGCTTCACAGAACGGCAGCGGAGACATCTTGACATCTCCATGAACGGCGTACTTTGAGTTTGTATGTGCAAAAGTTCACATAACATGCAGTGTGTATACGCTCCTGTCTGCACTGACAAGCTAATGAGAGGAGGCCCTGCAAAACAGCGCGTTACAAGCATTGTTTTGGGCTTCGTGCCATTGTTTTACCGACTGTTTGGACAAAAATGAAATGTGGAAGTTTGCAGACTGACTGTTTCGAGTCATTAAGAAGGAAACATTAAAGGTGAGGTCTGCTGCAAGACAAATGATGAAACAAGACAATAGTTTTGCAGCTAAATGTTCTTTGTTCTGTCACAACTAAAGTTACTGAAACGTTTCCTTTTGTCAGGTTTGGATCAGGCAGAAAACTCAACAGGACAAAAACAATGGATTGAATGTATATTAATTAAAAGATATATTTATCCACAAATCCATATGCCAAACCTCAGCCCCAACCTTCACAAAGTATGTGATGGATATGAGCAAACTATCTTCCTAATTGTGAGTAAGTATAGTAATTTTTCATATTTTATTTATGTTGCCATCTGCAACGTTTTTTTTATTTGATAAGCCACATAAAACTGGGAAAAGAAAAATCCAATTTCCTGAGTGAGTAATCCTATCTCATAATTGTGATCATTATCATGATGTTGTTGCCTTTAGGCAAGACACTTCATCCACGCTCAGTATGAGTCTGGTGTATGAGTGAATGAATGGTTGTTGGGGGTTCTGGTGCTTCTGGTGCTTCTGTCAGTGTGCCCCAGGGCAGCTGTGGCTGCAGTAGTAGTTTATCAGCACAGTGTATGGAGTGAGTGAATACTGCTATTGTATGTGAATTAACTTTCAGTGTATAAAGAAACGTCATGTTACACGGATGCATTAGTGTTGTTATTATTATTATAGTTTACTGTATCTGGCTTTTACCTATTGTAGGAGAAACCGGAGCACCTGGAGGTAATGTAGACACAGGAACAACATGCAAACTTCACTGAGAAGGACCTTGTTCCGACCTGGATTGGAACTTAGTGTCCTCTGCCACTGTTCCGCCACATACAATTGACAATATGAGTAAAAGAGAAAGTCATGGTGCCACTGAGACTTTTTTTTTAAGCAATGTTATTTTGTCAGTTGTAACGTTCCCAAAATTCACAGCTCCTCTTGGCCACATGAGCACTTTCACTACGTGACAGGTTGTGTAACGTTCAGCAGATAGAGCCAGTTTATGTCAGTGTGAAAATGCAGCTTGGTGAAGTCCCTGTGGTCCACAGTTTGAGCCGCGGTGAGTTTCAAGCACATCTCCACATCTGTAGCTGCTGTCACTGGGGCAGGAGGCAGCTCACAAACGGTCTGGGCTGAGCCTGTACCAACCACATCTGTCATAAGAGCTCCATCCAGGCCCTTCGCAGAGCCATCATTACAGCCAGGACCTTCCCAATCCATCTACAGACGCTCAGAACTGTACATGACAGCTTCACGGGACAGGGGATGCGTCTTGTCGAGAAATGTTGAGTGGTATTGCTGGAGACACTTGGGTTGGCAATTCCATCGGGCCCTTCGCTCCAGAGAGCACGGATTTGATCGAGTGATGTTGAGAGAAGTTGGAAAGACTTGGAGACACAGTATTCAAATAACATACTTGCAGCTTTTTTTAGTCTCTTAAAGGTTATTCTGGACAGCAACATGGGTTTATATTTTGCTTAGCCTCAAAATGGGGATGAGCACAGGGGACATATACTGTAGACAGAGACACAGGTGAACAGAGAACTGAAACAAAACCAGACATTGTCAAAATAAAACCAATTAACACATAATAAACCATGACAAGACTAAGATGAAGCAACTAAACACACTGTATGTGCCTGAATTTAGAACTACTCACAAAATCAATGTGTTTCAATGAGAGGAGATAGTTTTACCAGATTAGGATTAGGATTCCGTTCTAAAACAACAACAAAAAGTCAAAGAAGTTTGTGGAGGGACCAGTCTAATGCCCTCAGTGAGTGATGGGAGAGGGGTGTTGGGTCAGAGAGTGTTTGGTGTCTACAACTACTAAGAACTACCTATTTCCACATTGCTTTCTCCTGTGATTTAAATACATAAAGGATTGTCATACTCAAAGCCTCATTTATCAAGCATTTTCTCTAGTACAAAACAGATTAGCACTCCTTAAAACTGGAGCGAACTGATTTATTATGCACACGTACTATTCTATAGAACTAAACCAGGAAAATTGTCCACACTATTTTACTTTGCACCCACAGTGTAGCAGTTTAGGATTGATAAATGAGGTGCATTAGATGACTGAAAGAGTAACATACTGTATATTTGGTGTCTAAAGTAAACAAGATAAATATAATGTGTTTTTGTCACACGTGCTTTGGTTTCACATTCAGTTTGGCAGCGTGACAGACCCCACAGACACGACTGTAACTATAAAACGCCTGATTACGTCTCCCAGAACTCGTGAAGGTTCAATCGAACTAAAAATCTGCAGACTGTCTCAAGGACGCAGACACAGGATTTAATGAAATGGCCTTTATTCTAACATTACAGAGTGGACTGGTGAATGTCGAGGTTCAGGATTGAGAGAGAGTAAAGGGGGGAAATGGGGGAATGACAACCTTGTAGTGTGATTATTATAATGATTATAATGATGATGAATCTTTAGTTGTATAGCACTTTTCAAAAACAGCAAGAATGAATAAAGATTTGCTGCGAGCCGAGGGCCGGACTGGTTCAATCCAGAGGCAGTGCTGGTGACACCTGCTGGCTCGATAAAATATGCTCTAAAGCTAACACCCATACATAGTAGATATAGACAAATGAGAACATGAAAACGGTGACAAAATGCTATTGACGTATTAATGCGTCAATGGCAGACAACTCAAATATCATCCCACTGGCCTTGACTTTGACATGTGGTCTACAGTAAGTCTACAAGCCACCAGCAACAACACAAGATTCGGCTTCATGGCCTGCCCTGCTGACTCCGATTGTGCTTTTAAATTGACCCGTCTTCCCATTGGTCACAGATGTTACTGTAATTGTGCTCAGATAGAGACAACGCTGTTTGGGCCAAAATGATTTCCTCTCCACTGTGACCTTTGAATGGCCCGTGTTGAGCGGGGTGCACTGGAGGTGAGAAACGGATTTGTTCCGTTGCCAGATGTGTCCGTTGCCAGCAGGATGGACACACCCGATTTCACCTTGAACATGTTTCAGATTCATGCTGCTAAAATCTGGAACAGTGTTCCTGAAGATGTGAGACAGGCCTCCTCTCTGACAATGTTTAAAACCAGGTTAAAAACGGTTCTGTTTAGCTGTGCATACAACTGAGGGATTTTATATTTCTATCTTTCATTTTAATGTTCTGTGATTATTTATGATTTGAATGCTTTCCTATTTTGTTCAGCACTTTGAGTTGCCTTGTGTATGAATTGTGCTATATAAATAAACTTGCCTTGCCTTACCTTGCCTAGTTGATGGCTGAAGGACATGATAGGTTTTCAGTCTGTATAGGGGCAGTATGTAACATTTCTTACTAGGGTCCACCTGCTGCTTTTCTCAACAGTAATATTGCAAGTCTGCCCACTGTATTATTCAACATATTTATCAGTAGACCTGCATTGAACACATAATATGTACTGAATTATTTAGGTAATTGATTACTGTACTGTACTGGATTGTAAGGCACTGTATATAAGCCGCACCACAAACATTTGAAAAGAAAACATATTTTGTCCACTTATAGGCCGCACCTGAATTTAAGCCACAGGTTTTCATGCTCTAATGTATAATAAGATAGACGACTTTCAACTGGTCACAACATGCTTTAATGATGAGGTGTCTATTATGACAATAATCCAGTGCCCTATACTGTAGCTACTAAGAGTCTGGCAACAGCCCAACTCTATCTCCAGAAAAATACACATATTAGCTGCACCGCTGTATAAGCCGCAGAGAACTAGAACTAGCTAAAAATAGTGCCTTATACTCTGGAAAATTACGGTACTTGGAATATGATTCTTTCAATTAATAAATTAGGTGAATATGGGATGTTTACTCTTTTGACTGTATAGCTTCACATTTGATTAGTTCACGTGTTACAGCCCAAGAGTTTTCCATGTACAATAAATGGTATGAAAAACAATAAACCTTCATTAGAGCGCTTTTCCCACCCAAGGCAACACAAAGTGCTTCAATTTTAAAAATAAATTAAAATCTTAAAAGATCAAACAAGGGGAATAAAATCATAAATGAGTTATAAAGAGTAAAATACAATCCCTTAGTTGTATTCACAGCTAAACAAAACTGTTTCAACCTGGATTTGAACACTTTTTGGGGCATCTCACTTTTACCATCAAACTGTATCTCAACCAAGTGGTAAAGGCCTAGGCCCTATAGTAATAAAACAAAAATAGGGGTTCAAAAAAAGAAATAACATAAAAACAGATTACTTGTGTAATTAGTGCACTCACATCTTAGAGAATCCCAAAAAATGACATTGCTTTCTTCAAGGAGTGAATGTTGAAGGCTGAATATATGAACAAATGAAACTCCCCAATAGAAAGCTGTGTCCTGAGAAGTGCACTAATACTGCGTCCTAATCAAAAATCAAGTGACCGTATGTTCAAAGTGCTTTTCCCCGATATATCATTCAGTTTTATTACACATGGGCCGATGAATCCTGCCTTTTATATTGAGAAAAGCGCAGCTGGGGCTTCTCATAAAGTCGTGGAGTCATCTTTTACAACAAAACCAATAAGAGCGCGGAACATTGTGGTAATTGGCCGTGCACCCCACTGCGGCTCGCACATGGATCTTTCAGACGCCACCGCCGCCTCAGGCCACAGTCTTTATGAACGCGGTCAATCAGCACCAACTTTTGTGTAATTTCTTTCAGATTCGTTCAACCAAAGACAGTTTGTACAAGAAGTTCTTGCGTATGTTGTTGCTGAGCTCAGGAATTCCACCTTGTTGTTGGAGGTCGCCGTCGCAGTGTGAAAGGATTAATAAAGATGACCTGATTAGGCCTTCCACTGCCAGGCGCCTAATTAAATCATAATGTTGTTTATATGAGAAGACTGCGGATACCTGATGGAGAGGTGCTGTCACCAAGGGAACGTCTTCAATCATTTGACATATGTCCGTTTTTTATGCACATTAATTACAATAATTCAAGTTTTTTTTCAGAATTCTTTGAGATTATTTTCATAATATTTCAAGTTTATTAATCTAATAATCTAATAATATTTTCACTTCCACTTTATTCTCATAATATAGATTTTTCTAGTTAATGGAAGTTTTCTGGGGCGAGTTTGTGTTTCCACTTCATTTACTTACTTTATTTACTTCCATATGGTCATGCACTCTGCTTTCTTTAAACACATCCATCTGAATGTCATCAACAACGTTTTGGAAGTAGCTTTCACTGTCCTCCATCGTCATCTGGTGATCATCCTGTGATTGAGGGATGTGAGCCATCTCAGCTTTGGATTTGTATTCCAATAAAAGGACGGCAGGAGGCACCAAGATACTCAGAATCACCTTGTACCAGAAGTTCTTGCGCATGTTTAGTCGCCCCATCCACATATCGGACAGCAGCATCTTTGTGCTGTTATGAGCTACAAACGGCTGAAGATGGGAGGACACGGCCAGTTTGAGACAGGTGGAATTACTCCAGTTTTTGAGCTCATAAGTGAGCAGCTTCATGGCCATAGTCCCATACTGTCTGAACGACTGCTCCAGCAGATCTACTGCCAGGGTTCCAAACTCAGTGGAATATTCTTTAAACTCCTCAGATGTGTCATCTACAACATCCTGCTTTTTTGCCACATTGCTCATTGATCGACAGAGTTTGCAGGCCACCAATGCTTTAGCCATGTTTTCTTCTCCTTGCTGCCAAAAGAACAAAGCCATTTTCTGCCTCTTCAGAAGCACCGCCCACGCTAGAAGCTCATTGAAAGGGTAAGGAAAACGTTGGGTCTCTGGATCGTCAATGTCTACACTTCTCTGGTTTTGATCCATGGAAGTTTCCAGCGTTGGTTTATATGGCTGTGCTGTTTTGATGAAGTGGTTGTGTCTTGTTTTTTCCTTTTTCTCAGCTTGCATGCTAAAAGACTCGTGACCTTTTAGCAAATGGGAACCAGGACCAGGCATGTGTCACCCAGACCGCCTGTTGTCTGGGTGTCTTGTTGTAAATGATTCTGAACCTTTTCCGAGTATAGTTGCACCTGTAAGTTCCACCCATCAGGTACTCAATAACATATCATCTATAAGCGTGATCTTGTATTTTGGAGGGAGATGGCTTTGTTTCACTTCCTGAACCAGGTGTAGAAGATTGGGTTGTTTGGTGGCTGTTTAGTGTTGTAAAGCTCTTCAAGTCAGTTGATTGTCAAAAATCGATGCATGCACCATTTTCAATAAGCACTGCTCCTGCCGGGTCTGATAGAAAACCTGAAGCCACAGAGGCCCTTTCTGGACTGGTTTGGACACCTCTGCACTAACCCTACGCAGACACGGGGGGAACAAGCTCCACTCAGAAAATTCCCATCTGGAGGTGGCATTGACTCAGGGGCGAGAGTGCCAACCACTCAGCCACCGTTCTACTGTTTTTTAAACGGCATTTGTCCCTAAATTTGGCTTTATAACTTAATAGTGTAAGGGGAAGTGGAACAAGGTATCACGTGATTGGTTGCTAGGCTGTTGCTACCTACATCATTCACCGCCGTACTCCTGCTCATTGGGCCTGTTCCAGTTGACTCTAATCTGCAATTTTTATTTCTGTTTTTGTCTTTCCCACCGTTCTCCTACCCCCCTATCGAAGTCAGGGCTCGTCTCGTCGGGAATGTTTGGATTCAGCATTGATCGGCATCTCGTGCAAAGTGAACCCATTTTCACAAGCAATCTAAAACAGGTATTTTACCCCAAAAACTCTTTCTATTAAACAGCCTGTTCTCACATAAGCAGGTCTGTACTCTCAGTCCGCCAGGCCCATTGAGCCCTGTGTGTTCTACTGCTGCTGCACAATGGAATAATCAGGATATTAGAGCAAAAGCAGGTGCTTGACCCAAAGTAGGCTGCAGGTTTTCGCTTTAGGCAGAAGATGATAAAACCCTCGCTGCGCCACAGGGGAGTGTGTCAATAGTACTCCCGTATTCTTTGTGTATTGGTGCAGGGAATCTATATTTGTGGTAGTTGTAGTTGTTGATTCTCTGGCTAACACCGCTCGAGTTGTGCGGTCCTCTGTCGCTATAGGTTTTGAATATATTTAGTTTAATCTTTTATTGGTATGCATATATGATTTAGCTATTTTACTGACTGTATGTATTCATTGACTTTCATTCATTCATTCCTAAATATGTAAAAATGAATTAAACTACTTTTAATTTTACCTTTCTACCTTACACAGCTTTTTACTGTGATTTTTCGATTTTCTTTTGAAGACAGCGTGAACTATGCGCCTTGAAAGCTGTATACAATGTGCAGTACAAATAAAGTTGAATGGATTTTTCAGTCAAATTACTGAAGCATAGACCAGATTTTTATTTCGGCAAAGCAATCTGAAGCCTTGTAAATACTGAACAGAAAAGTGCTATCTTCCCAGCAGCAGTCTCTATACCTTTAGCAATGCAATCATTAAATCTCACACTGTATTAATCCTGATTTATATTTCATTACAGATTACCCCGCTCTTTCATTTATCGCTGAAATAATTATGAGGAAATGAAAGAGGAGCCGGCAGCTGACCTCGAACTGTGGCCTTAAGTAACTTTGAAGCAGCACATAATCTAGCATCGCAGCACGTGTCACCTGGTTTATCATATTTCATTATTCCCAGCACTTTATCTACGTGCTCTGGGACTGATTGATTAGGGAGGCTGGCCACACGCGGCACGAGGCAAGACAGCATTTGAAGGATTGTGAAGCAGTACATGGGCAGGACCATGTGTAGCACGCAAGATTTGTACAGCAATTACTGAAATGGAGATAGGCGATTCTCGACTCTGTGAGATGGAAAGAGGACGAGTACTTAGGAATGATGTGGCATGAGTGGAATACTGTTAGTGTCCAGGCGGAGTAAAGAATGTTGAGTAAGGATCAGGCTGATTGGCAAATGTGTGTGTTTAACATGAGCACTCCCAGGATTGTGAAACTACTGGAACTGCCAGAGCCGCTATTTTGACCGGTCCCATTCAAATCAATGGAATTCTAAGAAATTCCCCCCAAAAGGTGAAATTTTCCACCAGTTTCTTTGTTTTGTTACTTAGTAGCATTATGTAAGATTTTCATGTCTAGTCCTCATTAAAGGGCCCTAGTATGTCTAAAGGCATTAATGAATCATTCTCTTTTTGAATACTTCTTTAACTAATAACAGTAGTTCAGCCAAGATATTGGAATTTCAAAATCAAATTTACAGCCCCTGAATCTGGTTATTGTTTTCAATTCAATCAGAATGTTTGCGATCTGTGTTGCCAGAACTCACCACGTCGAGCAAATCTCACTGGTAAAGTAACATGTGGCCGCAGAACTAAAACGGTCTTGTTAAGATTCTCAAATCATTAATGACAAAACAAGAAATAAAACAAGGGATGCCTTTTTGAAAAAGGTGATTTTTTTGTTGACAAAACTCTTGTCAATTCAGCTATTATGTTCCCAGCTGGATTCGTCTGAATATCTGGCAACCTGAGTCAGGGGAGAGTGGGAGAGGTTGGTAAGATTTTTATATATCGCTCCTTTAACTCACTTTCACAAAGAGCTAAGATTGGTCAATATAACTAAAAACAGTTCGATAAAAGGCTAAATTGTAACGGCTGGAAAGTAATCAGTGTGTTGCTATGGTAACTGCTCATGTCACGCTTACAGCTGGGACGAGCTTAAAAAGACGAGCTAAAAAGTTTATTTGTGATTTATTTTCAGAAAACACAATGTTCCGACCTCGGTTGAAGGGCAGATCATAATGAGTCTGCTTGAACAGCCCGGTGTCGTGTTTACTGTAGTGGATTATTATTGGGGATGCAAGTCACACAGTGGGGCAGAGTTCTTCCCTTTCTAAACGTAGATAATAAAGTCTTTTTCAGTTTTTCTTTCTTTGCAGAAGAGGGAGGGATGCTCAGGGACATTTATATTATTTCGATGAACATTGGTTAATTATGTTTGTCTTTATTTAATCATCGAACTCATTTCATTGTTTAATTTGTAATTTGCTATCATATTCTAAATTTGTTTGCAAAGACGAATGCTGTGGTTCTGGGATGAGCATACCGTCCATATAAATAAATGGTCCTCTCCTCCTCCTCTTCCTCCTCCTCTACACCCTGCTCTCCAGCTGCTGTACAGATGCTTTTGTCAGGACACTTTGATGTCGCTGCTCTGCTCCCATCACCTCACTCCACCTGAACATCTGCTCTGCGACTGTAACCAGGACCCAGACGAGGACTAGGACTAGTTCTGGGTCCAGGCATGGGTCTGGGACTGGGTCTAGATCTGGGACTAGGACTACTGCGACAGCTCATCTGCATACAGGCGCTCAGCTTTCATGATTCAGCAGCGAGGTGGGAGAAAAGACAGAACATGACCAGAACCAGGGCCACAGTTAGAAGGTGCCAGGTTTGCATGTTCTCCTCTCTCCTACTTTATCTGTCATATTTATCACCTGTAGTCTGCTGATTCCTAGTCACCCGCTGTCCCGTTGTCTACAGCTTCATTCCTAGGCTAGATCTACAGCCTCAGTCCTGGATCCACAGCCTCAGTCCTGGATCTACAGCCTCAGTCCTGGATCTACAGCCTGAGTCCTGGATCCACAGCCTCAGTCCTGGATCTACAGCCTCTCAGTCCTGGATCCACAGCCTCAGTCCTGGATCCACAGCCTCTCAGTCTTGGATCTACAGCCTCAGTCCTGGATCTACAGCCTCAGTCCTGGATCCACAGCCTCAGTCCTGGATCTACAGCCTCTCAGTCCTGGATCCACAGCCTCAGTCCTGCATCTACAGCCTCTCAGTCCTGGATCCACAGCCTCAGTCCTGGATCCACAGCCTCAGTCTTGGATCTACAACCTCAGTCCTAAACAAAAGACAAGCTCTCTCTGATCCATTTATTGAAGTATAACATTTCCGTTACAATCTACAGTCTCAGTCTTGAATCTACGTTGCGGGTTTTGGAGTCGTTCTTCGCCTGAAACAGAAGGGTCCGAGGACAGCGATGACCCAAGACATTCAGGGACATTCATAAACATTGGTCATCCCACTAACCTTAAAGCCTGTGGGTCAATGGCTTTTTTTTGTGTTGTCTTCTCGTTTGATTTTCTAAACTGCTGTTGGCAACTTGACAATATTGTAAGGTCCTGCGAGACGACTGCTGTTGTGATTTTGGGCTAAACTAAAGTGATCCCGAGTTGAATCTGTATACAACTGTTGTGTTGGATTAGTAGTTTATTCCATTCAATACTGTAGAGTAAGAACCTATTGTGAATGTAAGGATAAACTCTACTTTCTCTGTGTTTGAATTGAGCATTCCTTCCTGGCTCTGACCTCCCCACAGCGGGTCAAGTTTCTTCCGCAAAGCTAACCTCAGCTGTCTATCTCCTGAAGCTGCACATCGTGTATGCAGAGCGTCCATCATGAACCAGGGGACAGGGCTCCGGATACTCAGGGGGACGAGAGAGAGCGCCTGTCAATTCTTTTACTATTTTTTATTTTACATTATTATTCATATTTTAATGTCATAATGTTGGTCAAAATTGGAGATTTTTTTTACATTTTCAGGGTGGAAAAAACACCTGTCTTAAGTACTGGTAAAAGTAAGAGTACTCTAATTAAACTTAAAATATTGAAGCTCATCTTTGACTTAAGTAATAATTTTTTGCCCAAAATCTTTACTAGTATCGTTATAATAAGTGTTATGTACTGGCATAAAAAACACCATTAAAAAATCTGTTTTTAATTAACTTAGAAGCAACACTAACCAGACTGAATTATCTTTGAAGTACGGCTAACCAGACTGAATGAATTAACTTAGAAGCACGGCTAACCAGATCAAATCAATCAACTTAACGGCAAACGGGGAACCACACTGAATTAAAGTGACTACGGTGTATATATTTTTTCAAAATGTAATGAGTTAGGGGTAGTGCAAAAATGTGTGTTTAAAAGTCAGACGCTATCAGAATATAAATAGTGAAATAAAACAAAAACGTCAAGAAAACCCTTTCCACTCGGAACATTGTAAACACAGCAGATATAGGGTTTTTGACACTGGCATACATAATAAATAACACAAGTTGACAGCCAAAAAATGGTCAGGGATTTCAACTGATTTAGACTAATTTTGGTGTTCTGAGTCCGAATATCACATGCATTTTGCTCTATCAGGTCAACTTTTTGAGATACAGCCATAGTGTTACGGATTATGTACGTCTACGTTATTATGAATTCTGCTTATCAAATTTGAAGGAGTAAATAAAAACTGAATGACTTTTATTTCTTGAGGAAAACGGAAAAAACGGCAAGGGTTTCTCAGCTGATGATCCGCAGAAATTTGTTTTTTACGCAAAATCAATTTAAAAAAATATTTCTGTAGCAAAAAATCCTGACCTGATTGAGCAAAACCAAGGTCATTTTCGGACTCAGAGCATCAAAATTAGTCTAATTCAGCTGGAAAACCCTGGACTATTTTCAAAAAATATTTTTTTGTTACCCAGTGTAATCACCATTCGTAATGCATGTTCCCGTATATATGATGCATTTGATTTAAAATAAAAACAAAATTAGACCACCGTTATACAATCATTACTATCATTCACATCGACCTCTATAACAGCCCGCTTACATTCCCCAGCACGTCTCTGAACATTGGATTCCACACAAATCGTTCAATTATGCCCTCTACAGACGCCGCCGTGTTTGAAGCACACCTCTGAGGCCGGCTTCTCGTTTGTTTGACTATAAAAATGTCCTGTTCCAAAACACGAGCAAGAGAGAAAGAGAAAGAGAGCTGCTTCATAAAGAGAGAGAGAGAATGGCCATTAGTGATTTGGATTCCACTCTGCTTCCCGACAGTTGTAACTAACGTGGCGGAGCTCGGTGTCGCGTCGACAACGGGGGAAGACGACGGAAGAGAACAGACCAAAGACGCACGACGATAAAATACACGTTCTTGTTCTTTTCAAAGGAATAACTCTCCGACACTGACAGCAAGGGACAGCATGCAGTAATATACTCAAGTGCTGGAGGGAGAAGTCTTGCTCCAACTGGCTTTGCCTCTTATTGACTTACCTTCAATTCAAATTTATATTGTGCGTATATCTTCATTTTGCCCTAAATCACAACAGCTGTTTTCTCGGAGGTAGAATCGCCAACACAGATCAGAGAATAAAACGGTTCGTACACAGGAAATTGAATAATAACAAACACACAGGAGCTATTGGTCCATAGAGAGCGAATGATCAATGTCCATAAATGTTCTGGAAAAAAGTGAGAAACCTCTAGGACTATAGATTGAGGACAAACGACATTGGAATGTAAACTCCTCTTGAAATATTTATCATTTAACCAACTTTTGCTGCAATGTAATGCTTAATTTCAAAAGATCAGAACAGCCTAACTTTAGTTTAAGTTATACAATTCATTGCTGGCCCGACGGACACGCACTGTGAATTAAAGTGGCCCCCAGAGTTTTATTTTATGATCTTATAAATTTTTTATCATAAATAATAGATACAGTTTGATATATGCAATCTGAGTGCTCTTCTTTCCAACTTTTATTCTGCTGTAATGTGCGGCACAATGGCATTTAAATTTCTCCACTGTGGAACAAATGAAGGACCATCTTGTCCTACTAAAAAGTTTGGAGCGAAGGACATACAAAAGTCACACCCAATTTAACTGCATTGCATTGATTTGACGGTCAGAACAGGGTCATTTAATTAGAAAAAAGTCTGACAGAAAAATGAGCAGCAATACTTTTCAAGCATTCTCTAAGACTAAAAAAGACAAAGTTCTGTAAAAAAAAAAATCTCAGACATTTTAATCATTTATTTCTTGGACATTTTGTGAAGCATCAGACCAGGTAGATTTTGGATGTAATATGTAAAAAGCTCACAAGTCTGTCGTGAAATAAAAGGTTCCATTGCAGCACTGGGACATTGGAATCTCTATGGAAAAAGGTGATCATGTGACCTCCCCTCGGCCTTCGACCTTTTAGAACTCTAAAAAATGACCTCTCCTCTCACTCTCCTTTATTGTTATTTGCTTTGGCTTTTATGGTAGAGTGAAAAACAGCACTTGTCTCCGCGTGTGCCTTAAGAGATTTTTATGACCGATCCGGCTGCTTCTCTGCAATCAAAACGACTAAACTTTTCACAATCTGCTATGTTTACTCTACGCCAATCATGCAATCAGATTTGGTTGGAATCTACTGTGTCATATCTGGAGAAATTGTGAATTGTGTGACTTGAAAAAAAAATTGGAGCAGCATGGAGAGTCTATTGGCGTGGCAATTTCATGATTTTCCAAAATGGCACAGTTGTTAGGCAATCTGCGAATGATAAAACATATTTTAGCATCGTAAATCCAGAGGCTCTGTGTCAAAATCTAGTATTTGGTGGCACTGTTTATTTCATGAAAAACAAAATGAGAGACAGATGGGGTTTAGAAGTTCAAACATATTTATTTGATGAATTTTTGTTTTTTTTGTCGGACAAAGTAGGAGACGATACAAACACAATACATGTGATCTATAACGGCAGTGACGAGATGAGGCTGGGTGGTGCATCCAAGGGGAAAAAAACAGAGCGTTCTTAAATATAAGAAAACACAAATGCGTAGGAAGTGCGGCCGAAGGAGCACACCGATCCTCCAGAGGATTTATACCACAACGCATTAATAAAAGCGACAAATAAATTCATTTCTTGAGGTGGAATGGGACTTCAGTTTCTATATCGGGAGGCCACAAATGAACAGAGAAGGTTGAATTAAAAACTAAATGGGAGATTTGTGAGATTAAATGAATGGGGGATCTTTTTCCATGGAAAGGCCTTGAACTAAAATATTGGCTTTGTATTGACATATTCAGGGAATCAATGAGTTTTTATGGCCTTAAATCACCCTTTTCAATCCTACTTTTAATATATGATTGAAACTTCACAATGTATTCTCCTCATTTTAACTAAACTAAAGCCTTCTCAAAGCTCACTACTTAGGGATTGGCCAAAATAATTCACTTTTATGGCTGATATCTTACAAACATCAATCATCAAAATGTATTATTTGCAAAATCCACAACCATTTGTAAAAAGGGGGGACAGGAAAACTACGGACCAAATTGAAATTGTATTATTTTTGTATGATTGTCTTTAGAATTGTGTATTTCCATGTTGGTCTGCCTAAAACATATGCACATAGAGTGGGGAGTTGCAGAAAAAAAAGTGCTTTACCAGATAAATGTTCAAAGTGATTGTTAATTTCATTTGAAAAAGTTATTTTGAGTATATATGCTTAAGGATTTTGAGAGTTCCACAGCCCAAGTTGGTTCAATTTGGAAGTTTTAAGATACACAGAAATGGCAGATATTCTAAAGGGGAAGCCATTAGTGAGGAGGGTGGATTAACTATATAAAGAACTAAAAACTAAAAAGCTTTCCTTTAAACCAAAACGATTCCATGTTGAGATAGTTATGATGTTGTGAAGATGCTTGAAATGACATTAATCTTGAACACAAATGAAAGACAAGTTTTCAGTGCACAAAAAGTTCATTAAAATTCAGTGAAAGAAATGTGAAAAAAACACATTCAAAAGTCTTCAACCAAAGTGAAAGTACGCCACCAAAACCTCGAGGCTGAAGTACAATATCGTAGTAAAATATTTAGCTGCACGTCTTAACGACCCCGGTTCAAAACTCTTTGGCATTTTCCACCAGCTTTTTATTTCCTTTTAATTTTTTCTTAGTAAAAATCGACATTAGGAAAAGTAAAACAAAAAGGTATCAAATTGTATCTCTCTGGTAGATTCGTCACAATAAAACAGCAGAGCGCTTCTCCAAAAGTCTGTCATATATCAATGCTACAAAAATCTATGCAGTATTTACACCAAGAGTCCACTGTACACACATTCATGACTCTCGCACCAGTTCAGAAAAATAATTTGGGTACCGCTGCTTTCACGGATAATGTAGTCTGTTTTGAGGTGGGTTTTTTGTAGTTTTACAGTTTTTCACATGAAGTCGTTGAGTTCTGCTTCTAAAGCCGCCGCCATCTCGTCCGCATCTGATCCGCTGTCGTCGTTGGAGTCTTTGGAGGACTCCTCTTCAGAGCCCGCCTCTGCTTTGGCCCCTTCATCGTCTGCCACCTCCTCTTCCTCCTTGGCCTCCTCCAGCTTTCGTTTGTGGCCCCTGCACAAAAAGAGAACACAATCCTCATCAACATGCTAGCCAAACTCAAATGTTATCCTCTTTTTTCACTTAAATGGACAATGTGTACAATGCCCTCTGTGCTCTAATAAAGTTGTACAATCACACTTGTGTTGCCAGAATCTGACACATGTAGCTCCTAAGAGCTTTTCACTGATGAAAAACACCTGCTGGGGATCAGCGAGACACAGCACAAACTATTACGTATGACGTATGACTACTGCCACCGCCTTCATTCAACCAAACGTGTGGTTTGCCTTTTTTCCTTTCCCATAAGAAAAAAAACTGGCAACCCAATGCAAGCCCCTTTCTGCTCTGATTGGATAATCTGCTCGAAAATTGTAGAAATAATTATTGCGGACATCATGTCCATTGTATTTGTACTAATAAAAATAACTAAACTTTAGTTGAAAAAAATTGAAATATGATCTTTACATGTGACATGTAGATGCCATTTAAAATAAAAACATTACATTTATTTTTCTCAATCACATCTTGCTTCTGTAATCAATAATTATCTGTGGATTAATCACCTTCTGTCTTGTCATCACTGTCTGTGTATTTGTCTTTTTCAAATAAAAATAATAAAAACTCTGGTTTTAAGTCTTAGTCTAACATGGGGTTTCAGAGCGATGGCGGATTGGGAACTGGGCAACAGTGATTTGATGCGAGCCAAAATGTTGCGGCCTCATTTTGACGCACAAAGGAGATTAAGGAATATTCCTGACGACCTGCTGTTTTATGGAAATCTTTAGAAATGAACCATTCTTTGTCTTTGGTTACGCTGTAAACGGTAACACGGATTGGAGCTTAATCGCTTTGCAGTGGCCCAATTTCCTCACGATCTTACATTCAAACTGACATCTGTAAACAACGCAAAGGAAAAATGAAGATGAGGGTTGTCTCCATACGTGGTTTGAAATAACGTAAAGCTGGAGTTACCAAAGTTTCACGTCTCTCATGAGCATGTAATTTTGCTAAGAACATGAGAAGTGTTCAAAACTCCCTTGATTTGATGTTTCTAAAAAAAAAAAAAAAAAAAAAAAAAAAAAAGGAAAAATAATCAATAAATACTCAAAAGGTTGAAAAAACCCCTTAATTTTACATTTCCACCACTTAAGAGCTCGAGTGGTAGAGCAGAAAGAAAATCGAAATCAAACATATTCAAGCCGTCCTGCGCTGACGTGGTAAACAAAATGAAAGCCCAATAATTATAAACGCTATGCTGCATTTCTATTTTTTTTGGGCTAAAAAAGGAGAAAAAAAGTAGATGAAAGGAAAGGCTGTAATTGTTTGTACTGTACTTTGGAGTAGAGTGCAGCCCCACGAGAGTTTAGGAATAAACACGTTCTCTATTCGGCGGAAACACGCCTCAAGGTGAAGAATTACGCAAACGCACAACTCGCAACGAGAACAAAGTCATTCTGTTTATCACCGACTTCAAATGGAACATGGAAAAACAAGGCCCAAATAACAAGATAGCATTATAAAGACTGTTAGCAAAAATTGGATAGGCTAATCTGACGACGCCTTTGGGACAAGAAGGCTCAAGATAAAAAGGAAAACTCATTAAATGTAATTCTTCCCAACTCCAGAGAAGCACGACTGAGATGGGAGCAGTCCAGCTAACATGGAAGTCTGAAAGAACACTAAAGATTTTGGAATTCTGTTACTCATGACTGAATTGAAGTCAAGCTATATCGATAATACAAATGTATTAATAATATAAAAACATTTACAAAAACAAGACAGAATTTGACATTTAAAAAATGTCCTGGCCTCATAAAAATCTATTTTGAGTTAAAAAAATAAAAAAAAGCTTTTATAGATAATAGCTGGGTCAAAATTGGTTTCACGTATTTAGATTAAAAGTTAGAATTTTAGTATCAGAACACCACTACTTGAAAAGCGGGGGAATAATCATGTCCGATAATCACTGTAAGCCAAATCAAGTTTAATTTTTCCAATTATGTATTTCATGAAAGTGCTCCGTTACAGATCAGAGGGCGTTATGAACCCTTCCCCTGTGCCGCTTAGTTAATTTAATTAAACAACAATGGCCTCCAGGGAGAAAGCAACACACATACTGGTGAACTCTGATCAGCAGAGCCAGTGTGTGCTCTGCTTAGCATGGTGCAGATGAGGCATTTAGGCTTCAGCGCGGTGGTTCTTGTGGTGGTCTGACACCGGCTTTCTCATTAGCCCACGGCGTGCAATGGCACGCGGGGCTAACCTCCCTGAACAGCACGGTTCTGCTTGTGTTCATTAAAGGTCACATGTCGGCTAATATGGGCGCCACGCTGGGTGACATGACGGCTGCGGCTAGCGCACCCTGTAGTGTGTGGGCGAGAGGCCGCTGCTTTAGCTCTTCAAACTGACACCTACTTTTATTTCCAAAGCCACAAGATCAAGGATGAGCTGCTACACTGGCAGACACAGCAATTATTCTAGATTTGAATAACATGCAGATAAACAAACTGGACATAATTATTAGACTGGACAAATAAAAAGCATATCAACCAGTATCAACCAGTAAACAAATGTGTTAGGCTTAAGAAAACATTTTATATTGAAAAGGTACATACACGTAGGTCTCCATGGAGACCAGGACTGAGGCTGTAGATCCGGGACTGGGTGTGTTGTAGGTCTTGCGTTTGAGAAGCATGCAGTATTTATCAAATTAACATTAAAGTTATCAATTATAAACATTGGTTTTAGAATTGGTTTTGAAATCATATCATGCCGAGTCATGCGATTAAAGCACCTTCACCTCTGACCTCTAGTGAAAAAGCCTATCCCAGTCAGACGTTTTTTAGATACGGCTCTCTCAAATATGTGCATAAGAAAATGGCATGACTCACAGTAAACAGACGAAGCTAAGTCTAAATGAGTATATTAGGAGTAAATGAGTGTGCACGCTCCCCAGGGCTCCAGCAGCTTTACCCCATTTCACAAATATTAACTCTGGAGACACAGCAGACAGTGGGGGGTGTTTGGGCCATCGCTTTGCGTCATTAAATCCAATCTAAGTCTAAGAGTATTAATCCCACCAGCCACAGTCCCCACGGTCCAAGGATCTGTGCTTGCGTAGGCTCAGAGATGGTCCTCCTGCCTTCTTGCATTGAGAGACCGTCAAGAGGTGCGTATATTCTGCATGTTCAAGAGATTTAGATATAACATTTTTTTGAAGTTTTAGTGCACTACTTTTTTAAGAGGTCTGCAACTACTTCCGAAGTACCATGGCATAGTATCAATATAACAGCCTTGGAAAACAATTCAACACAAACATACATAGAATCTGATGCATTTGAATCAATAACAAAGGTGATTTGGACTTTCACTTTTTACACAGTATGACTACTCAGACTAAGATTTATTTAATAACTATACTAAAATAAAATAAAACTTAACTAGCATAAAAAGAGGCATGATAAAATCTCTACCTTTAGCATGACTTAAGTACAAAATCTTCTACAGAACAAGCTCAGTCCTTTACAAAGAGCACGGAAGCACAGATGATCGGCTACACTCAAGGCTTCCTCCAATGGAATCACTTTGAATTCAGTAAGTCTATAACATGACAAGTTGAATTAGATAAACAAATTAACTTTTGAACAATATTCTGAGTTTCACCTGTATGTGAGTAACTACTCCAGGAGCATGGAGCTAAAGTCTGCAGAGGAAGTAGCTGAGAAACAGCGAGACTATGACAGGTATGCGGTGCTCTGCTTTAGACCAGAACAGTGGCAGGACACTAAACAAAACTATGTATAAACAAATGTGAAAGGGTTCATTATATAGACACCTGGAGGTAATGAGCTACTTCATGAACTGGTCCTCAATCTGAGAATTACACAAGATTTTACACAAGATTTTGATTATACATTCAGGATACCCAGCAGTAGAAAATGCCTTAAAACCTGTGGAATCAGACTTCAGTGGGGTCTATGATCCAATCCAATGCACTAACACTTTTAGAAACCGTTTCCAAAGTGAGGTGCAATTAAAATTCTTAATGAAGCTCAGTTAGAATCTTCTAAAATGGATAAAAGCACTAAAGAGAAGAAACAAAAACAAGAAAATAATAAGATAAACAGGATCAGTCCACTCACGCAGGTAAAAAATAAATGACAGTGAATCACAAGGACTTTCATTCTTCGTCCACCTCCTGTCTTATTTTTGTGGCACAGTTAAATGATTGTTTCTTCAGCGGCTTTAACTGGCTCTTGCTGCCACTCGTTATATCAGCGAACATGGAGAAGTGACAGAAAATGATAAAGCGATGTGGCTGCCGATGTGGTGAGGGAAGTCCTTACTAGATCTTACTAATGCAAGGATCAGTCCACCTCTACAGCCTTTTGCAAACACTATATTTCTTAAAAAAGGCCCAATAGAAACTTTGATTGCAGGTCTTTATGTCATCAATGTCAAAATCAGTAATTAGATCGCTGGCAAAAGGTTAAAGTCACATTTTTATCATGGAGACACATACAACCAAAATAACCCTTAAAGGACAACTCACCCTCAAATCCACTTTGCTGATAACCGGTATAAATGAGTGTCCAATAATGTTGTCTACATATCTACAGTATGATTTTTTTGCTTCAACCACCCCCATGTAATTGTAACAAACCTAATTTCACAAGAAAAAATGCCAAAAGCAACCCAAAACAACTCCAGGTCTGAATTAATCAATTTTGCACATGTCACACACGCTTCTGTCTGCCATACATCATAGTTGACACCAGTGGCCATTACCATTTTTTTGTAGTACATTTGAAATCTCAATTTTTCAAAAATTAGGTTACAAAACAGACGTGTTGGGGTAACTACTGCAGCCTCTTTCCAAGATATCAGTGAAACGAGGCAACATCGAAATCACCTTTCCATCACAAATCAAGTCTCGACGTACAGACATTTTCTTGATTTGATTAAAAATGACATTGAAACACGGACGCATATCATAGACTCCATATAAATAC